TGGAATGAGTGGCCCTTTTTGTGCTATTTCATTCTTCATTTTCAATTATGTCTCTTAATGTTCCTCTCCTGCCCTTTCTATCCTCCTGTCCAACAAATGCAGGGGTGCACTGAGTTTCTTTTTGTCTACAAGAGTCAATCATTTTTGTTGCTGCTGGTGTAGCCCTCTTTTCCCCCATGTTTATCAAGGCAAGATTCCTCTCTGCCCTAGTCCTAGGCTCACCTCTTACTCCAGTTTCCATCAAGCACTCTGTAAGTTCATCCTATCTGTGCAATCCACCTTCTGTTCTCTCAATTTTGTTTCCATTAAATTGTGACCAGCTTCTCATTTTGTCTCTATATTATCTGGTGTTTAGAATTTTTCCTTTCCTCAGGAATTGTTCACCTCTCTCTTAGACCTGACATCATTGCCCTGCTCCCGAAAAATCCCGCTCTCTGGTAACTTAGAAAATTACCACACAGTCTGTAATATCCATTTCCTCTTCCAAAGTGTGACTGTATTGTTGGCTACCAAATTCAAGCCCCTTTTTCCCACAGCTACATGTTTGAACCTCTTCAATTAAATTTCCGTGACTAATACTGCTTTTAAATAGTTCCAATCAAAGCAATAAATGACATGATTTTGACAATGGTGTTCAATCACTCCTTATTCTTTTCAAGCACTCAGAAGTTTCACTATCTTCTTTCACTATCTCTTCTGTTTTCCAGCAAATGGATCTTCATTTATCTCATCACTCTTACATAATCAATTCTAGTTAGAAAATTTCCAGAAGTGGTTTATCTTCTCATTCCCATGCTGTTAGCCCTGAAATTACAAAAAAGATCAGTTCTTTTGTCCTCTTCTATTTGTCATCTACATGACACTACATTCCACATGTATATTGACATAGCTGTACCTCACCACTAGATATCTCAACCCATCCATTTCTCTCATTGTTAGACTACTAATTAGACTGCCAATATCCAGCTGGAGGTAAACATTAAGTAACATCAGTGTCTTTGATTTCTCCCTAACCATCCTCTCTGAGTGTCTGTCTACCATATGCTCCCTGTTTTACAAACTGAACAAATGTCAATACCTAAGATTTAAAATTCTCCACTTTGTTTTCAAATTCCTTCCTGATCATGGCTGTCACTGTCACTGTAACCTCCTCCAGGTCTACATGCTCCATGAATGCTGCTTTGCTGCAACTGCATCCCCCTTTGATTCTACCCTCCACCATTAGCAGTTCTCTTCTTGCACTTAAATCCTAACCTCTGGAATCTATCCTAAAATCTCTGTCTCATCATCTCACCCCTCTTTAAGTCCCTCCTTTCAGTCACCTTTTTAATTGGTGTCATTGGTTGTTTGATCATGTGACTTGAGAGTCCCTTGTGATCTTTTCCTATGTTAAAGTTGTTAGATAAATGCAGTATGTTGATATTCTGAATAAATATTACGTCAAAGTTACAGCGAGGAAACAGGCCCAGCCCAGCAGTTCCATGTTGATGTTTAGCATAGTGGTCCTAATCACATGTACAAACACTTCCACTATCATGAATGTTTTATTTTGTCATTTTTAATCTATTTGGTTCTGCAGGGCTTTTTAAAAAAGGAAAGCTTTGAGCATTAACATATCAAATGACAACATATTCAATACTTCTTTGGGCCCGTATCAATGTATGCAGAGCTCTGTAGGAACTATTAAATCATACATTATTGCATTGTGTCTGTCCCTTTTTTTTGTATAGTGTGTTAGTTCTCTGGTTCTGACTTGGGTATGAATAAAATGGTCACATTTTGTTCTTATCTACTCAGCACATACTGCCTGTCTGTTTGCAAAAGAACTTGTCCACTTTATTCGTAAACAGGAAGACAGCGTGTTTTCAGAACGGTTGCAGTCCTATCACTTGAATGGATCAAATATTTGCAAATTGCTGCAACTGGCCTTGTAATACTAGGCACTGCAGTTGGCAGAAAGTTCTAGAAAGAAAGAGATGAGAACATGCTGTTGTGGTTCTTCAGTCTCCATTTTAAAGCCATATGATGTGTTGACTAGGCTACTGAGCCCTTTAATCTGGGAATCAGAATTTACTTGGCACCCCTTTCATTGCAGTTGAAAACCTTTCTTTCTCATCTGCATGCTGTCCCTTGGTTACATCCATTTTCAGACAGGAGTCACGTTCAACATACCCAGATCTGCCCTTCGATTATCACTTTTTTAAAACTCCCTTGTTTCTGCTTATCTTGGATATATCATAAGCTGCTCTGAACCTTAACTGTTGCTGAAACCTTTTATCAATTCTTTTGTAATATTCAGCCTCAATTATGATGATTTCCTGACTGGCATCTCATATACCACTCATTGAACTTGAAGTCATGCACAATTTTCTGGCATGTCTTCTCATCCACATCAAGTCCCATTCTCTGATTATTGCCCTCATAAATGTCTCCAACTCTCGAGCTAGAGTCAGAAATTTTGCACAGTTCCGGGGCACTTGCCTTGACAGTTACCGAGTAAAAGCAAAATTTTGCAGATGCTGGAGATCTGGAATAAAAATAAAGTGCTAAAGTAATACAGCAGGTTTGGCAGCATCCATGGAGAGAGAAACGAAATTGACATTTCAAATCCAAAGACTCTCCTCTTTGTAATTGTTAAGACTGATTGATTGATTTAAAACCAATTTTAATGCTTCACCCAATCTGACAGTGTTGTAACCGGACTTTGGGTGGAGATAGGAGTTCTAAACCAGCCTTAGCAGGGAGCAAGTGTATTCTGTATGACTCACAAGGGTCCTTAATAATTATGCACGACTAATAATGAAAGTTGTGTATACTGCAATCATACAATAAATCATCTTATTAACTAAGATAAGTCCATCTTCTGTAAAGACGCTACAAAAGAGGGCCTTTCATTTACCACTGATCATAGATGAGCTCGAGATGCAGTATAGACAAAAGAGATTGGTGGCAGCTATCTCAAACTACCCTTATCCTGTGCCATGTACTGGCAAAGGTAGCAGATACTGCAAAGTGCCAGTGGTCACATTGAAAGATTGGACCTTTTACTCCCAATACGTGACAAATAGTGTCATTAAAAAAAAAGGTTGTGTGCTCCTTGAGCTGATCCCCTCCACAGGTCTCTGCTAGGATACCTGTGCTGTAGGAATTGTTCAGGATCTTCATCAGGAGTCAGACATTTTTTTGGAATATCTCCAGGTAAGTTTACAGTTTTCTGACTGATCAGCATTAGTCAATTTAGTTGTGAAGCTGATCGGTTGCTTTGGGCCATTATCGCTTAAAAGATTAAACATACCATAACTACTAGATCTACATGATCGGTGTGCGTTATTGCTACACAAACTCATGGATTGTCTCTCCATTGCCTGCAGCATGTTCTCCCAAACAATTCATGGTTATAGGGTATCGTATGACGCCTGTGTTCTTGATCATTCTAAGTAATGTCCGGCTGGAAGTGTTTAGCAAATTCTGCTACCTCGGGTCTACAGTGACAGACAATCTGCCTACGGATGCAGAATCTACGCACCAGGAAAGCAGCTACCCAGTGTTAATGGACTAATAATATGTACATTGAATAACATCCAACTGACTTTTAGTACCAAATGTATGCCTATTAAGAAAAGAAGCTCAAAGGCTTTCATTTAAGCTGTTTGTGGCACATTCTGGGCATCTTATGAAAGGATAAAGTCAAAAATGTGGCATTCTTCTCAATGGCAAAACTGAGCAAGCAGAGGTGACTTTGCTGCCTTGAGCATATTTGCAGGTTGGATGCTTTATTTGGTGAGATAGCTGGGCAAATGAGTAGCAGGACGCCACTTCAAGGATGCTCACAAATGTGACACAACAATCCTAAACATTGGTTTTTGTGCTTTTGGAAACACTAACTGACAACAGGAAGAAATGGTATCATCGCCTCTGGGTCAATGTACACCACCATGACAGTCAGTAGCTGCAGCAGCTTGGAACCAATACTGCAAGCACTGATATTGAGACTACTGGCAGAGGCTGCATCTTAAGCAGCATGTGCAGCTACCTGATCCCCGACAGACTTGATTTGCTACATGTCCAGCAACTTGTGTGGATAAAAAGATGCCAACAATGCATTTGTAATTGGGTATTTCCACCTACCTTTTCTTTCCTGTGTACTCATGTCCTGTCAGTAGCAATACATTGATGTACAGTACTTTGGAGACACCAGAGGCGGGACTGAAATACACAAAACTATCCCAATACTCCAATTTTTCACATTGGACAGAAGCAGGCTGAAGGGCTGAACCACCTACTCCTGCCCTAGTTGTTACGTTATGTTTCCTGAAATTGTACAGGAGGCAGAAACAACCATTCCTTAATGAACTAAGTCAACAATTTATCCTCATTCCTCATCCTTACAATGCTTAGGATCACTAATGTTGAAAAGAGAGCTGAATGTTCGTTGGTGTTTACATATATAATTTTAGGTTCAAAGTTCAAACATTAGATCTGCCTAAAATAAGCTGTAAACCAAACCCAAAATGCTCATATCCCTGCATGGGATTGAAGTAGGGACAAAGACATTTCAATCACAAGGCAGCTCACCACATCCCTACTAAATTACTGGCTGTTGAATGGGTGAGCCACTGTTATGAAACAGCCTGCACATTCCTCACTAGAAAAGAATGCAGGATAAACAAAGTGTACAAGACTTGCTCCCTTACCAAGGTCTGACAGATTATCACTCTGTCTATTTTTAGGGCGTACAATTAGTTGTTTTCTATTTCATAATGTGCAATTATTAAGTTGTTTGTAGACTCAGCTTTTTCTCTGTTCAGCAATCATTATGATATTAAGGTTCAAGAACACACAAGTTGTTTATGTGCGAAGAATTGCTAATTTGTTTGTGACAAGCCATTGATGTGTGCAAAATGATATCCATTTTGCTGACTTTGAGATCCGAAGAGAACTGGATACATTGTCTTGATTAAACTTTCAACTGTAATTGTCATCATTTATCTCTCTTTCAGATTGAGAATTTCTGAGTCCCATTGTGGGAGAAATGAAAAACATGTTCACAGTATGGCTTGTTCTTCTGCTTGCTGCAAGTGGAAGCTTGCAACAGGTTCCACCAGAGAAACTCCACAGTAAGTTATATATTTCTGTCAGTGAATTGCTGGATGTGAATGTTTCTAAATTAAATACTTTTATTATCTTCATAGCAGTTGGTTTTAAGAAAAAAATATCATCGTTACCTCCAAATATGGTTGATGGTGCTGGTATAACAAGTTTACGTTAGCAGAAACTGTACGGCACAATGTTCTTCCTTTTTTTTATTTAAACCCCCTTCAGATTAAAATTGCAATAACATTTAAAAATTAGTTTGGTCAGCAACAGAATTATATTGTCAATCATTATCAGACAGTAAATGTACATAAATGGTCTCAAGTACATTGCAATTTTTTTTAGAGTTTTTTTTATTCCATTTAAGTGTAGAACAGGTTAGCAGCTGTGCCAATATCTTCCCCACATTGCACATCATGAACATCAGAAAGTATATTCTAAGTCTGAGGTAGCATTTCAAATCCAAACATGACTATAGGATGTAAGCGTGTCAGAGGCAGTTCAGAGAAGATTTACCAGACTAATTCCTGGAACGGTGGGCTTGTCCTTGTGAGGACATTGGACAAGCTAGATTTCGGCTCACTGAGATTTAGAGTAAGAGGTAAATTGATTGAAACATAAGGTCCTGAGGGGTCTTGACAGGGTAGACATGGGAGACAATGTAGTCTCTTCAGGGAGGACCAGCTTTTAGCTTTTCACAAGTTCAAGGTCATTTTGAAATAATGGACTGTGTTCATATTGGTTCTGTGTTGTAGTTTTATGTGGACATTCACTTTGGACTAAATAATCTTTGAATTGGTTTCAGAGAATGACATTGACTGGTATCATTATGGGATGCTCCTTGTTCCATCTTGATACAGGAAAATCATTCTAAGCCACAAAACAAGTCTGGTAACCTTTGGTAGCCATTCATGACAACATTCTTGTCCAGATTTTTTTTTCAAATTAGATTAAAATTCAGAATATGACCTATTTGAACAGGGTGTAACACCTGCCAAAAGTGACCAACAAGGCACATATATCCCTTCAAACAGGGTCAAATATGACCAAACAAGCTAATGGGAATGCCTTTATCATCCGATGAATGTGTGAAATAAGTTTGTTTTTGAATCGAGATAACATCAGGTGCCAGGATGTACTATACAGGCCAATGTTGAATCAACATAGTGGAACCATCCTTTTTAAAATCATTTGCATCCACATGCAGAATGTTGTATACAGTTCTGGAGGGTGCAGTACAAATGGATATTGTAGCTGTTGAAAAGGTACAGAAGAGAGCATTCATAATATTTGAGGGATTGGAAGGCATGTATTGTGAGAAGTGATTATGTCAATGGGATGAATTCGCATTGGAAAAGAAAGGGATGAGCAGTAATGTAGTGGGATTAGATTCTGATGGGATTAGATAATGTGAACCGTGACAAGTTATTTTATCTTGTCCAGAATAAGTAGAAGCAGAGGACAGGAGCTGTGTATGATAAATCTCTAGAAACATCAAAGATCAAGTGGTAAATGTATGGAACTGACGTTTCAGCAGACATGGGAGACAGATGGTATTGATCTCTTTTATTCATTTGCAAACTTGATTATTTTTCAGAAAATAAATATTTTGGTTTATAGTCATCAAATAAATTTGAGCCATGATGAATATTGAGTAAAACAGGAGTGTAAGGAACAGATGACTATGGTTAGATTCCTCTGGCCTTGTGCCTGTCTGTGTCGTGGGTAATTGAAAAAGATTAATTGTTATAATTAGTCAGCAACCCTGTTCTCATTGCATCATGCAATGACCAGGATAGTCAAAGGTGGACTACATTATTTGTTCATGTATCAATTCCTTCAATATTGCTAGGTGTCTCTGAGTATAAATCACTGAGCTAAACCATAAAAGAGAGTCCCAGCTTTAATCCAAAATAATGAATATACCAAATCTTGTCTGGGATGTTCTTCGAATTTAGTTCTAGACTGAGACCAAATAAAGATTATTTTTGTAGTTGCTAACTGGAAACATTGAACAGTTTATCACTTATGATGTTGGAATTAGATTAATTGTAAAGCGTCCCTGATTGAATAGTTCATTGAACAAGTTCATTCATGAAATACAAATGTGTACAGGCAATGCAGTGATAGTCATTAGGTATCCATATAATTACACTTTTATATTGGGCTGACTGGTCATATTCACAAAAGGAACAGTGAAAGAAAATTAGTACTCTGGAGGAATAAGCACATGGAGATCAGTTATGTGAGAAATCGCCTGTAATAAGAGGATACTTGTAAAATTCTGGGCTAACCCTGTGTGTATATTTTCACAGAACTGTCAATAGAGGGACAAAAATATCTCAATAAACAGATTGAAAATGCTATCAATGGTGCAAAGGTTATGAAATCTATTGCGGATAAAAGTGAGCAACAACATCAGGAGTATTTACGACGTTTGGAACAAACCAGCAAACAAAAGGAGGTATTGTGCTCTGTTCTACTGATTGCTGTGGTTAAATATTACTTGTGCAATTGTTCCAATTTTTAATTCAACCTGCTTAGTGGCGATGGTTCAATGAAGGGCTGACTACTGTTTTATACGCACCAATGGAAAGTTAAAACCACATGGGTCAAAAATGATTGTTCAGCCATAATTCCAGCGAAGCACGTTTAGATTAAAATTGAGGCCAAAGTTGTGTGGCTGCAGAGCATTTGTCACTGAGTATGCAATTGTTTCCTTCCTAGAAGCGATGTAAGGGGTGGTGAGAAGGAAATGATAATGTGATGAGTTACCCCTGGACATAGCTCTCCCCATGCTCACCACCTCAGCTATTAACTGCTGGGCCACAAAGTCCAGTAGGGACTGTCTCGACTTGCCAGGAATTAATACCATTAAGTGGTCAATTATTGGCCAGTTAAGGGCCTTAACACATTTCTGATCACCTGTTTCCTTGGCAGGTGAGAAAGACCTGCCTGCCAGGTGTGTTGTGTGAGGTGGGGGCACAGGGAGGTCTCTAATTGTCCCAGCCAGGGAACAGTTGGGGTCATGGATGTGGGGCAAATGAGTGGCCTCTGAAAGTCACCCCAAAATAAATGGCCATATTGCCATATTTCCAAATTTCTTCCATTGGCATTACAGCAGCCAAGAAGGAAATGCACACCCATAATTCACACTATTATGTCAGTGTTCCCTGCCCACATCTTGTGCTTTATTTTTCCCCTTGTTTTTCTCCAAGTGTGGGGTGAAATAACTCTCTCTCTGTCAGCTCATTAAGAGCTGATAGGTGAAGAGAGTGGGTGTATTGAGCCTATCACAGTCCTCGACACTAATCACCCAGTCACCAAAAGCTGCTGGTCTCGTTCCCAAGTCCATTGGGACATCCAGCAACACACAAGTACTTTCTTTTCAAGCATCTGTATCAGCATTGGTGCATCATGGCTGGCAAAAATACGGGAGAAATGGGAAGTCCAAAAACCTAAACCATTTGGGGATCCTGTTGATAGTCTTGCTCGAAAAGAAGCAGATGTTTTGGTGTCCCCCGCATAATGACCCTGGTCTGGAATGCTCAGCACCTCTGAATTAAACCTTGTGACCAGTGCTTTATATCATTTGGCTTTTTGGATGGTCAAAAACACAAATCCAGGAAGTTCCTAATGTGGGAGAGTTTGTTCCCTTGACCCACTCTGACATTGTAACCATTTTTTTGGACAAGTGGAAACTTTTTCCTATTCTTGGCCAAGATTAATTTCTGCCCAGATTTCCATCACTGACCATGTAAGGCCTGACTTCTGTCTTCAGTTGCAACACTGTTGGCTAAGAGTAAGGGTGTAAGACTAATTGCAAAGTTCTTTCAAAGAGTCAAGACAAGCTGTGTGAGTAGTAAGTTTGATTTTCTAGTTTGAATGTCCATTCTGATGGGATGAGATATCTCCCTCTAGTTTTTTGTAATGGTTTTAATTGAAATTACCACATGCCTTTTCAGTTTACATTGTTTAAAAAATGAAGGCACTGTATAATGAGCCTATTAATGAGCATAAGCCTATTTTGAAAACACTGAAGTTTCAACTAAAGTGGCAATTGAAAATATGGGTTCATTAGGTAAGCATGATGCTTGTCTTGAACTGAGGCTAATGTACGTTGTTTATATAAATAAAGAGAGGTTTAATCTGTATCAAATTTTTTGCTGAGTAAACCAAAAGTCTTTGATCACTACATTAATGTCCAATGCATAAAATTGGCAACAACCACCATCCGTCTCTAGGGCAAAGGCGTTAAATTAACTTAACTATAAGAAGCAAAATCTTAAATATCTGAAAAGCTGAAAGTATTTAAGCAGCAGAAAATAATTTTATTTGTGCTTAATTTTACTTGAACAGTGCAGTATCAAAATTGCTGAATGGCTGTTGGTTTTCTAATGTTAATCAGGATGCGCTGGTAGCTGCTAAAGATGCTCAGAAAAAGCTGACTAATGCTGAGCAATGTCAGTCTAAGGAGGCTCTATGGGAAGAGTGTAAGCCATGCTTGAAGCAAACGTGCACTCAATTTTACTCGAGAATTTGCCGAAGAGGCTTTGGTGTGGTTGAGAAAGACGTAAGTACTGTGATATTCTAAGACACTCGTAAGATTTTTGCAACTTACAATTATCGGTGACACTTAGTAAATGTTTTGGAACATGGTGCTTTAAAATGTGAGTTGTTTAGCATGATGGGCCAATTGGCCTGCTTCAGCACTGTAACAATTCTGTGATTGCTTGAATTGAAAAAGTGAATCGCTTAATTGATTTGATTGGCATTTTCCACTTTGCGTAAAATCTAGCTCATAACTTAGGGTAATGACACATACCAATAATAGTAACAGGAAGGATTTGAGAGGCTGAGTCTCTTTTTGCTCTAGGAAAGGATGCTGTCGCATGAAAGGTTTGGATGGAGGGACGAGATGACCAGAGGCAGTTGATCATAAGAGGGGCACCAAGCAATCTCATGGGGAATTCAGAACATACAATACCAAAACGTGGCAGGAATGTGAAACTCCCTATTATTGGAAGTGATGGGGAGTGCTTGAAGAGAGTAGCTCAGATGCATTTGAGACAAGAATAAGAGAGATGGGAATAAACAGTTACAATGATAGTTTTAGATGTGGAAGGCTTAAACGGAGAGTAAATGGACTGACTAAGCAAAATGGTCTGTTTATCTCTATATATTTGTATACAATGAGCAGATTGTAAAGTTTTTAAAAAATGCAGCTGAATAAATTGGTTCAAAAATAACAACATTTAATAATGGCATAGCCTGTAGAGCTTGATTGCACATAGTGTTGGGTGAATGCCCCTGGCAGAATCAAGCAGAAGCAGTGTGAGGCATTTACTCAAAAAACTGGAATTAGAATTTTGTTCAAAATTTATTAGAATTTTCCATCCAGGGCCAATGGCACTCTCAGCATGGGCTGGCTGATTACTGATAGAAACAGCAAGAAATTGAAACATACGGGAGACCTGTTTACATTGACCAAAAAAAAAATTGGTAGAATTACAAAGGACATTTTGTTGTGGATGAACATCAGCAGCCAAAAGCCCTAGTTTAATTTGAACATACTGAGGGTTGTTGAAACTGTGAAACAACAATCTAAAAATCCAAGTGAATGCTAACTGTGATCCAAATTAGTATTTCATGTTTAGTGTCTCCTGGTATTAGATGAATCCTGAACTTTAGTACATAAACTGAAAATAAAAAAAAACATAAACTCACATTGAATCAGACAGCAAACTAGTAACAAAAAGAATTATATTTTTGCAATTAGAACAAAACCAGCATACATAATGCTGGAGGAACTCAGCAGGTCTGGCAGCATCTGTGGAGAGAGACTGAGTTAACCATTTAAATTCATTATCATTCCATCCATATTTCAAAAATTAGCTCTGAAGATCCAATTATAGAGGTGTTCGAAAGGTTCAGCTCCTATAGTCAATGTCAGAAACATGAAACTTGTTTTTTAAAAAAGGTAGCTTCACCACTCTTGAAGAGAACGAACCTTAACAGTAATAGTCAGTTTTGCTGACATCACATTTCAAAACTGAATGCACATTTCCCTCCCTGTTTTGAAACAAAATCCTGCCTAACTTGCTCATTGTTGCGGAGTCTTCCTAAAGAGTTGGTAGGTTGTTGGGGGACGCACAAATCTCATGATGGTGACTAATAACCTAGATGTTGAAGTCAAATTCCACCATGGCAAGCTGCAACGTTGAGTAGATTCAACCCAGTGAATTATTCATTATAATCAATTTGAGCTCAGTTGCTTATCAGCAATCAGCAGCAAGCAGAAGAGAAGTGGCCTCTGACTGGGGGAACAATTTTTTTTTGGTTTCAAGCTGCTTTCTGGCCCATAGCATACGTGTTAGACAAGCCTAGTCTATAAGATTCCGTACCAGCCAACCACTAACTCATCACTGTCTCTATTTAAGATTATTGCATTGTAACATCAGTAATAAAGAAGTGTAATAACACTCAATTTATTTTTAGTAAGAAATAATTTATTGCACCTTCATAAATTGCAACAATTGTTTGCACATTCGTGGACCATTAATTTTTTTTTGATTTCTAATTCTTCTGTGGGTTTTCTGAAAACGACAGTGCTGAGGTAACTGAATAGAAATCTCCAGGTGCTTTAATTTACCAGACCGGCTTATTTGAAATGAAACAGGATGGTGATTTTAAGAATGAAGTCTTGCTGTATATCTACCATAGAATAATCCCACCATTCAACTTTGGAATCTCACTACTTACTTTCCTTAACAGGTAGAAAGGTTCTTTAATGAAACACCACTGGTTTCTGTATGGGTCAATGGAGATAAATTTGACTCCCTGGTTGAAAAGAATGCAGAGCAGGGTCAACAATTCGAACACGTTGAAAGACAGTACGAAGACATCGATGAACTGTTCAGAGAAAGCATGAGGGCCTTTGATGGAACAGACAGATTGCTTGATCGCCCCTTCAGCAACTTCAGAATTTTCCCAAGGCATTTCTCGTTATTCCCAGATTCATCCTTTTCCCCCTTTAAGCCTTCCCTGTTTGATAGCCATGGGATGCTTTCCTCTTTCTTCGAAATGACTCAGCGGATGTTTGAGAGATTCCACAAAATTATGCACGATGCTGAATTAAGTAAAGGAATGTTTCACAATATAGGTAAGAAATATAAATGGGAAGACAAGTGTTGAGGATGACAGAGTCTGTGGAGAGGTGTGGACAGGTTAATTTGGTGGCAAATGCATAGCAGATGAAATACAGTGTTGGGAAATAAGAGGTTATGTACTTTGGCAGGATGCATAGACCTCGTTCCATCTTAAATATAGAGCAGGAGAAGCAATGTAAAAATACTAAAAATTGAAGAAATCAGGCAAGTATCAAAAACATTTTAAACAGAATATTTAATGTTTGGAGAGTGCCATTTTGGAAGGGGATAGAATCAAGCTTTTGTGTCCATTTGATCTAAAAATCTTTTATTTTTGAAAAACATTACCTTTTCCTGAGCAGCCTCCATTTTTTTTAAATTGAATTTAAATTACACCAACTGCCAAGGTGAGATTTGAATGCATCTCCCCAAAGTATTTGGATCATGTGTTACATTACCATTATACCACCATCATCCACATACAGCTACAATTGCAGGTCCTGCCCATGTACACATATAGTGTCAGTTACCTGCAATAATGTTAGTGCTGACCGAACATTCCCAGAAAGAATCAAGCAGGCATCTTCAGGTCAGGTCTAAGGTATTCACTACAGTATTCCCAGTCTCTGACTTGCTCTTGTAACCTCAGTATTTATGTGACTTCTCTGGTTCAGTTACAGGTCAACAGTGACTTCCAGGATGTTGATGGTGTGGCATTTAGCAATGGTAACATGACTGAGTGTCCAGGGAAGGTGGTTAAATTCGTCTTTGGTGCAGATGGTACTTGTCTTAAACTTGGGTGGCATGAACTCTTATTATCTCAAGGCTGAACTTACTGCATAGGAACACTTCAGTGTGTGACAAGTTGTGAATGGTGCTGAACATTCTCACTTCTAACCTTGTGATGGAGGGAAGGTTATTGATCAACCAGTTGAACATGTTGGACCTAGGACACTACTCTTGAGAACTCCTGCACAGATATCCCAGGACTGAGATGATTGACCTCCATCAATCATAGCCATCTTCCTTTGTGCTAGGTATGACTTCAACCAGCTGAGAACTTTCCCCCCCATTGAATGAATGTCGGTAGGGTTCCTTGATGCCACACCCTGTCAAATCTGCCTTGATAATAAGAGCAGTCGCTCTCGCCTTCCCTCTGAAATTCAACTCTTTCCTCCATGTTTGATCCAAGCGGAAATAAAATCAAGAGCTGAATGATCACAGCAGAACCCAAACTATGTGACAATGAGCAGGTTACTGTTGTGGAAGAGCCACTTGATAGCATTATCAATGGTTCCTTCCATTACATTGATGATTGAGAGGAAATTAGGGTAATAGTTTGCCACGTTATATTTGTTGCTATTTGTGGATAGGATATTTGGCTTGCCTTTTGTAAGGACATAACTGAGCATTTTTCCACTTTGCCAGATAGATGTCAGTGTTGTAACTGTACTGGAACTGCTTGGCTAGGGGTGTGGCTAGTTCTGGAGCACAAGTTTTCATTTAACTTTGTCAGGACCCATAATACTCTGAGACATTTTCCCTGCAGGAGAAATTCCTGTGGAAAATACCTCCTGCAGGAGCTGGGAAGCTACTTAATACAATAATTGGGATTTAATCCCAATGGGGTTCCTAGTAATGTCCACAGTAGGGTTGCTCTGGCTCACTTGGTGTCAGATGGACCCTCTATCACACCATTAAATTCTGTCCAATGGTTTCACTTAATAAAGGATTATAGCAAAATGAGTCACTGTGCAAAGGATCATGGCTCGCAAATCTTCTCTACCAGATGGGAAAGTCATTATAAACCTCCATCAAAATGGAGAATAGTCAGTGCAGATCCCTATAGGGAATGACCAATGTTATTGAATTGTTTTGAGGAAATAACAAAAATGATATTTAAGAATATTGCAGTGGTCAAATTTGGATTTCCAAGAATCCTTTCATAAACTATTGAGTTATAGCCTCATGACTATTGTGGAGTCAGTGAACATGCAGCAGTGTGAATAATAAACTATGTAGGAGAAAACAGACATTTTAAGAGTTAAAGGTAGTTTCGCAAAAGGATCAATGCTAGGAACACACGTTCAACATTTTACATAAATGACTTTGATTCTGGAATTGGAAGTACAATTACAAAGTGCATAGCTGATTGCAAGCTGATGTTTAGATTGTACAGAAAAGGACTGCAGCTTCCTGCGGGAAGACATTAATAGCATTGCAGAACGGGCATGTAACTGACAAAATGTCAGTCTGGATAAATATCAAATGGTTCATTTTGGGTAGAAGAATATAGAGGGAACATAATCATTGCAAAGTAAGCATCTAAGGCAGCAGAGGAAATTATCAGTGGATACAGATAACTGCAGGTAACCAAAAGCAGCAATTCACATTAATAAGGCAATTTTTTTTGAGGAGCAAATGAAACATTGATATGAGGATTAGAACGGAAAAGCACAAGTTAAAGTTTTGAATAGGACCTTTTCATTTGACCACATTTGGGAATCCTGTGAACAATCTGGACTTGGTGTTGTAAAAATGATAATGAAGCCACTGGAGAACGTGCAGAAAAGATTTGCTAAAATTAAACCAAATCCGAAAAGCTGGATCTATCAGGACAGATTGAACAAGCTCTTTCCCCTAGAAAGGGAAAGATTTGAAGAGTGACTTGGTTAGAGTCCTTTCAAGGTTTATATAGAAGGTTTGAGTGGGTGGACATAGAAGATGTTTTCACTTGGCAGCAGGACCATAACTAGGCACCATAAATATAAGATGGTCACTTAAATCCAAAGTGGAAGACAGGAGAAGCTTTTTGCTCAGTGATTTTTGAATTAGGAACATACGACCACAAAAAATAAATGTACCAAAATTAAGGGAAAGCAATTTAAAGAGGAGTAAGAAACAGCTTTCATGAAATATAAACAGCAGCGTTAACTTGGTTAAGTAAAAACCGAAAATGCTGGAGAAACTCAGAACATTTGATGGCATCAGTCAAGAGCACATCAGAGTTAATATTTCCAATTCACTGACGTCCTCAGAAAGGGTCTGTTGACTGAATGACTGACTGACTGTTTCTACGATTGATCTGTTATAGGAAAGATGTTATTAGGCTGGAGAGGGTTCAGAAAAGATTTACCGGGATGGTGCTGGAGAATCTGAGATAACAAAGTATAAAGCTGGA